CTGAGATAGCCGTGGTTTGGCAGACTAGTATTGATACTGGGTGGTGAATAAAGGTGAATTGAAAATTTGGACCACGGCTGGATTCGAACCAGCGAGCATTTCCTTGAACCATTGGATGAGTCAGTATCCGGGAACGATAAATTTGATCAGCTCAACATTAATAGTGAGGCGATGAAAGCGATAATTTGGGTTAACTTTTACAAAAACTTTTAAGTATCACATCTGCTAGCAAACTGGAAGATTCGATTGGGATACCACCACTGGAAACATAAAATAGTTACGAATATGGACCATGGAATATTTTTCTAAGACTCAACTTAGATTCTGACTACATATTGGGTAAGACTTCCATTCAAACAACTTCACTAAAATAAGTTAACAACTTTATGTAATATCCCGTCCACTTTTAAAAGTCGCCAAAACGTATGCAGTACCATCGCGTAGAGTACCAAGCGACAGTGATCTACAATACAAAATGTTGACTGTGCCACACACATCGTTAAACAAAAGGTTCTAAAAGGTTAATACTCACAATTTCATCTCATCTGACAAATAATATAACAGCAACTAACCAAGGTGAAATCAATGCCTTTCCTACTAGAAACAAGTTTACTTTACGACATTTTAATTTACGAAAGTGATATATATGCACAACATATGTAAAGTCTATCAGGCTAACAAGTTTACACAGTTACGTTTTCCTCAAGTACTATGTATCATACATTCCCAAAATAATACATGAGTAAAACTTTGGTCCAAGTTTTATTCCTAAATTAATGAAATACACGGTCTTTCCGTTCAAAGACTTACCAACAAATTCACACGACCTTCATAGACAGAAGGTAGATACACAAACTACCGTATGTTCAATATCCAATGTCTTAGAAATCAAATCTTCCCTAAATATCTATATCTACGTGCACCAGTTCCAATAGACAAAGTCAAAACAGCTACAAAACAGGTCATTAAACTCCATAGAATAGTCAAAAAATTCCACAACATGAATTATATCTAAGAAATTAAATGTAACCTGATATAAACAGTTAGTGAAAAAGACTATGAGCTTCTAATGGACAACTGCAACAAAGCGAGATCAGCTGCATTCAAGAAATCCAAAAATACTCAAATTAAGAAGTTTGACAAATTTATGAAAGAAAAGTATCCAGTCAACAATAATGAAATTAACAACAGCCCATTACAAATGATCGATTAGTCAAGGTTGGTTGTCGATCTCTCAACTAATCCTAAACTCGAGAGAAGTAAAAGTGCTAGACAAAGGTTGTTGAGCGTTGATTTATTTAATTTTGTTACTCTCTCTTAGACCGACCACCATACACGTAATCAGAAAAAGACATAAACGCCCCCTTCAAATCATCTTCAAGCGGACGCTGATCTTCATATGGGGCGATCACCGACTGGAACTCGTTAGCGGAACAAGCAGTAAAAGGCACTTCGATGGCTGCATTCAAAGAAAAACTGGGTCATAATAGAGAAAACTAGTTGAACGATTAACACAAGACAGTAAGCCTACTATCCTTTTCATTGAACACCATAAGTGGAATTCGAGCATTTAAACTCCTTTGTGATGCAGCCGCGTATCGATTCCCAGCTATGTCACAAGTTCCCAAAAATTCTAAGAGTTCAGAGGTTGAGTTCCTTCAAACCTTTCGGATGTGAGACTGAGGATCTCTGTATCGCTCAGCAAGCAAATAAACGTTAAGCAACTAAGATACTGTTCAGCAGCTAACAATTTCACTTAATCCAGTCAACTATAGACAGGATTTAAGCAAATGAATGCCACTTACACGCTACTGATCTGCTGCAAGTAATCCCAGTTTAATGATAACACGTAAAGCGGTGAGATATGTAGACCACTTCACTTATTCGCGGAGTTGCATAGGGTCAAACACGCTGGTAGCTGACGAAGTCTCAGCTTGCATAGAGAAGGGTCGTTGAACATTTCCCAACTCGCATCATCATCTGTGATGCCGACTGGCGAGATATTTAACTATTTATCAAAGGACGAGTATACTGCACCGTGGTTCCTTCTGTCCTGTTATATGGCCGTGAGACATCACCGTTAGAAGTAAAAGACGTGATCGCAGATGTCTTCGCGACTTTGCTTGCGCTAAGTGGAATCACCATGTGAGCAATGCTGAGGTCTGGAGAAGGGTACTAGGCAAAACAGGCAAGTTGATTGATAAGGTTGTGAATCTCGGTAGACTGAGATGGCTTGGATATGTAATGCAGATGCGGAAGCCCAGCCTACCTCGATGCACCATGCTACGGGAAGTTGGATTAAGTTGGAAGAGGGCTCAGGGTGGCCAGACAAAGACCTTACTATTGGTTTGAGCCATGTGGGGACAATATAGACTACTTCGTTGGGGTCCCCAAGAGGAAAGAAATCAGTGACTGGGGACTGCTGGTTATAGGACTAAAAGTTGGTAGCAATGGTGCAGATGTATTCACTTCTTGACATCTATGGCTTGAATATTTGCACTGAACTTCATCTTCAGATTGCTTATTCTCTCACACTACTTTACCTTCCTTGATATCACTTTTTCTATTCAGCTGTTCTTAGAATACTACTTGAGCCAAAGCACTTGTGTGAAACGTTCTACGTTGATTTTGTAAGTTATCCACTAACAAACAGCATGAATATGTTTATATTTCAAGACAGCTTTTGTCGTGTACAGATAAGCACAGAAAACCAGGAGGCAATGGAGAGATATTTTGTCTCACCTAGAAGCTTCTCAACGTTGTTTAGTCATTACTCTGTAAGGAACCATACCCAGGACCACATAATCCAACGGTGAACACAATGCTATTCACATACTACTGAATAAACTCACATTTCCCAGCTTTGGTCAACTTCAGCAAACCGTGAACATCATTCATTCCATCGGTAAGCATTATTTCGTGCACACCTAAATTGACTGACCGCACAGTTCACGACTCTCAATCAGAGCCTCATGAAATTCATCGCAAAGTATATCACTGTTAACTAGCGACTTTTTATTCGGTTGATTAGCAATCGACCTCAAAGCATTTCCACCAAGGAGTTAACATCAGATAGAATATCACTGGAAACCATTAAGTAACAGATGGTGTGTTCTATAGTCAGAAACTATGAGAAAACGATATTAATCTTTCTTGATACTGAGTGACAACTGAAGATGAAATGAAAACCTGGACGACGGTAGGACTCGAACCAGCGGCCTCCGGCCCAGCACTCCACCAACTGACTCCTGACCAAGTCTTAACTTTACTTCAATCCCTGAGGGTACATGGTACAGCAAGGACACCAGGAAATGTGCAACACAAAACAACATAACGAAGGGAAGTGAATAAATAAAAAAGAAAAACACGGTAGGAATAGAATGATTAGAAAGTCAGTCCAGTAAGATATATTAGAAACAAAAAAATGCATTGCCTTTCAGCAGCAGAAGATAGAAGGGAGCTATATCATGACCGCCACTGCTTTCAATTCTGCGCCATATCTAATAACGTCTCAAGACACTGAATTGTGTGATCTCTCAGACCCCACCCAGAGTCGTGATGCACCAACATATCCTAACCCGATACAGCCATCCTTCATCTCACGGCGCCCCGTCATACACTGACCACCCTCCCATCCAGTCCCAGGGCTAGCAAAAAGTGAATGGTATGAAAGCCATTGAGATGACATGCATAACACATGTCCAAGCCACCGAAGCCGGTGTTTCAACACTTCACTTATTGAATGACGATCTCCATTATTCCCGAATACACACCGTCGTAGCTTAAAGCTACCTACATGTTGCCACCGGATACGAGTAATCCTGTGGAGACAAAGATAATCGAACACACAGAGTCGTCACACATTTTCAGCTCGGAGAAGCTAGGTTTCACAGGCATAGAGTAGAACTGCTCGCACCGAAGCGTTGTAAACCCAACCTTCTATGGTCAGACAACCCTCGCGACGGCACCAAAGGAGGCTTAAACAGGGGTGTGCCACTCTGTCTTTCGATATGCTCTTTGAAATTTCACCACTCACACTTCCACCAGCACTGACACAACTACCGAGATACACGAACTTTTCGACTACTTCCAACAATTCAACACTGAGAGTGAGCACAGATACAGGCTTCTGTCTATCTTGCAAAATTACTTTGCATTTCGATGATGAAAAGCACACACCATACTTACGGACATTAATCGCCAACTAAGCGAGATTTCAGTAACACGTGTTGTTGCACAGTAAGACGATATCGTCCGCATATTCAAGATCGAATAGCCGTCCTCCGGGTAGCAGATCTACGCCACCATCACAGCTGCCTCAAAAATGTCATCGATGGCAAAGTTCAAGAGGAATGAAGAAATCAGGTAACCCTGTCTAACCCCACTGCTGGTTTGGAACAATGGATCCTGGTGGTTGTGTGCCCTCGCTACACCTGAGGTGTTATTATGCAGAGCTTTCAAAAAGTTATTAAATTTCCCAGGTACATCCCTCCCTAACAGAATTCCACAGTACAGCTCTATCTAACGAATCGATGACAGCTCTAATGTCAAGAGGGGTTTTGCTCGGCTACCACAGCTATCTTAGATAGACAAATTATCAATTAATATTTCTGTTCTGAAAGTAAACACTTATGTAGGCCAATGGTTTTCCAATTCAAGAAGAAAGAGAGTTAAACTTCAAAAAAGTAATACCATATTTTCTTTTATATGAATATTTATTTGGCACGTTGAGAAAACAAGCGAAAAAGAAAGATAGAAGGAAAGAAACAAATGAACAAAGTTATATATATATATATATATATATATATATATATATATATATATATATATATATATCACTAATAACATCTCTTGATTAACAACAAAATACACAAGACATAAGAAACTGGAGAGGACAAATAAACAAGGTGATAATTCAATAAATAATAAATAAATAAATAAAATCTAGGTTTAATAATACTCTGAAAACAAATAAAACTTATCTCAGAGAAAAATGAGCTGTGAAATGTTAAGTAATACATTATGTGTTATGTGAATGTGCTCCATCTGTTCGTCTATATGCACGTTGTAAGTGAGGATGGATCAGAAACAGAGACAGGATGGATAGTACATACATGGATATGGGTATTCAGTAATCTTATACCGTGTAATAATCAGTCAGAAAATAATTTAACGATACTAGTGTTAAACAACAGTAGCTACTTACTAATATATACGTGAACAATAAAGTAGTAGTTATGGCAAAAATCAGTCATGCTCTGAAGTAAATTATTAATAAGCATCTTGTGAGTTATCTGTAGTAGATGATTCACTTTTATAACATCCATCCAATAGTTTACTAACCATTTGTAAACAAATCTTATTGGCCTTTTGAAATTCTGGGCCTAATAGACAAAAGTTGAGAAATCCATGTGGTAAATCTTCCAGTACACGTATATCTACTGAGATGTTAAGCTTTGAGACACGTTTAGCCAATTCAATAGCATCATCCAAAAATGGATCGAATTGTGAACACTAGTGAGAAAGGAGGAGAAGATAGAAAATGATTATGTCATGATTACTTCATATATTTACAGAAACAAATCATTGTAATAGGATTTTGTAAAATAAGGTGTACTGTAGTGTATGAGGTGTGTAAGTAATTCAGTAATCAGACAAAGTTAGCTCGTATATCTTTCAGTGTTTCTTTCGTACAACCAGAGTAATCTAACTATCCAATTCTTAGATATTTTTAAGTAGCTATGATGTTTTACCCTTTAATAACTGGATACTAGACACACTCATCATACTTTTATGCATTTATAATTCTTACCCACTGTAACAATGAATAGTTATGAAGAACTCAACAAACAACTAACCAAAATACACTCAGTAACCATATGCATTTTTCTACAGTAGGCAACAAATCAAACCCACTGTGTGGGGGCTAGAAATGCATGATGTCTAGAAATTCGATATCATAATAACCAAAATGAGAACAGTCTAGGAAGAAGTTTCTCTCCATGCTAATTGGTTTCAACATTTAGTCTTATAATTTATTTAACAAAAAGCAAAACAGAAAATTATACAACGATTACCAATGACTAACTATGAGATGTGAACCAAGAAGTCAAGGTATACTGATTATTTTTTGCTATTTATTGATACGTGTAATTTCGCCTCGTCGTACTGGATCAAATTGCTCGACCTCTGTTGGCAGATGAGTTCCTATGAGGATGTCTCGATACTAACTGAATGTTCATCATGTTGTAGTTTGTTTCGTGGTAGCTAGCAATGAAATCCAGGACGCGTATTTCGTCCTATATAGGACTCGCCAACTGGATGTATCTCCACGCAAGTGAGTGATAGTATTCCCAGTGATATCTGCTGCACAAGAGGTGGCTTTTGCGCTCCAGTGGCCTAGTGTACGACTCTTTGGCATTTGAAGCAATAGGTACTGGATTCAAGTATCAGTGGGAACACCATCAATCACTGGGCTGCAGATACATCCCAAATAGGACAGAAAGTGCGTCCTAGGTTCCATCGCTAACCACCAAGAAAGCTACAGCAAACTGATTAATGCTCATAAAGTATAACCATACTTTAATCAACAGCGATACAATATAACCTTAGACATGAAAGACGTTGGAATGACTATGTCAAATAATCTTAATTCGCTGAAAACTACATAGTAAGATGGTATTGCTGAATGAACTATGATGACCTCCACTCTACTCAGATATAGGCTATCAAATAGAAACATTAATTATATGGTGTTAACAATGAATTTATAATCATCTTGATGTCATGAAAGACAAATGCTTTTTGGATAAAATAATGTTTAATCTATTCACAACTTCAAGCATACTCATTCCATTTTTATTTTTTAATTTAATGATGTGTGCTCATGTGGATCTTTCTCCTCGTTCAACTTTACACACAGTTTTACAAGGTGTTCTAAACATAATGAGTGACGATTTGAAGAAAAAAGTTTGTTTAAACCATTTCATCGGAAGATGTGCGTTAATACTTAGTCAGATAATAAGAAGTGGAGTAGTGAAGTACATTGCTTGTGAAGTTATGACTAATGGAATCTCAGGATAATTAATATAAGCTCGATTCGCTATCATCAATTTACATCATATTTGAGTCGGGTGAGATATCCAATTGTCTGTTAGAGGCTGAGTACACAGAATAGTCTTAAAACTCCCTGTGTATGTTTGTTTCGAAAAAAAAACATACCTGTACACTAAAACCTGAACATTAGATTACAGATTTGAGTTTAGATTTGGAAGAAAAGTGAGAAATAAACATTTTACTCTATGCAGAAACAAACGTTACACTAAAATTTGTAGGTTTATGAGAAGTTATACGATAATTATCATGAATTTTTTCAAAAATCATTCACATTCCAGTTTATTCCCTTCACTGAACAATACACAAATAGAAGGTATACACTTACAATAATGGCCATAGGCGGTAATCTACGTAGCATATCATCTGAAGCTAGATACGGGGACATGTATGCATCCTGTGAAATATGAATATTGCGAACATGATTTAAATCTGTTGGTGGTCTACGCGGATGATTATCTGGAGAAAATTCCATTTCAGTAGAATGGTTAGAAGGATGCAAATTATCTTCAGGTGAGTTGTCTTCACAGTGAAAAGTAGTTTGCATTGTACTGAAACTCGATTGGTTGGAATTGAGGTTGGGTGATTCTAATTAATTTAATGAAAGAAGTATCAGGACTAAGTATTCAAATAAAAATTAAGCAGAAAGTAAGAAATCACAAAAATATATACAACTCATCAACAAAGAAACGTTCTGGGTACCATACTGTTAGTTACTCCTAGTGTGTTGCAGCTGACGATATTGTTCAAACCTTGGTAGATTGAACCGGCTTCAGACTAGTAACTAAACGGTTGAAAGTCGAGTCCTTTAACCAATGAGTCACAGCTCTTAAAGACGTTAAACTTATCTAGAGCATATTAAGCAACAGTAGTGACACGTCTACATAGTCATGAGCCTTGAGGTAATAAATACCGAGGTTAGGTTGAATAAACAAATAAAACAACCGATTATAAAGAAACAGGACTTATGATTATTATTTGTCCCTTGGGTTCCTAGTGGAATATACAGCTCCAGTAGCACGTCTCAATTGCACCCTCTTCACTACAGTCTTTTGAACCTGGCTCCACGACTGCCCAGAAGCTTTCATTTCTTCCTCAGATGATCTCCTCCAGGACTTGCTTACACGTTTATTAGTACAATGATCTACAGAGAATGACATTTATTGATCAGGATACCAGACAATGACAAGACCTAAGTTTGAAGAGCATATTGGAATCTGAATCAATGCAGCAGGTACACTCATGGACACCATTTAGTTTTGATGCAAACAACAACCTAGAAAACAGTCCACATCATTGGCGTACCAAAGCAGGTTGTGAAAACTAGCGGTTGAAAATTACTATATGTTGTAACCTATTATATGAGTAGACGGTCTAAAAAGACAGATAACTAGTAAAGTTATTGTCCTACACAGTTTTAAATGCTTGGTAAAAGTTCCTATTGTTTAGTTTAAATAATATCATTAGAAAATTGATAGTCAACACATGATAGGTATGAGCAATAATTGTATTTTATACAGACGATGATTTTCCTGATTGTGGTCGACGGGATTATGCAACGAACTGTGAGGAGCGAGAAGAGGAGCATACGCTGACTGGATCGATGAAAAGACCCTAAAACACTTGGATTTCGCCGATTTATGCCTGTATAATGTCGCACAAACTCGAAGATCTACAGGCAAAAACTAACATGTTGACAGAAGAGGCAGCAAAGGAAGACCGGACTTCAAGTGAATATAGAGAAGACAGAGGTGTTGAAGATACCCAACCACCACCAAGAACAACAACAGCAAGAATCAGCAATCATCATAAACGGGAGAAATCTAAAGGAAGTCGTCTCTTTCACCTACCTGCCTAGGTAGCATCGTTTCAACTACAGGCGGCATAGATAAGGATGACAAAGCAGCCAGGATCGGAAAAGCAAGACAGACTCTCACTAATCTGAAATCAGTGTGGAGATCTACTTCACTCCACTCAGCATAAAGCGTGAACGACATCCGGATTTTCAACACTAATTCAGTCAAATCAGTGCTTCTATGTGGTTCGGAGACCTGGCGCGTCACGAAAAGCATTTCTAACAAACTACAGACATACTTCATCAACAGCTGCCTATGCTCGCTTAATCCTGAAGATCAGATGGCCAGAATAATAAGAATAAGCAGCAAGGAACTGTGGCTAGCAACGAACCAACCAAGAACCTATCACTCAACAAATATACAGAAGAAAGTGGAGATGGATTAGATCGAGCATACACTGTGAAGACCATTTGTGGACATCATGCGTCAGGCCCTCGAGTGGAATCCAAATAGGAAACGACGAGTTGGGCGTTTGAGGCGAGGGTGATATGGAGGAAATCGTGTCAGGAAGAAATGAAAGCTTCTGGGCAGTCATGGTGCGAGGTTGAAAAGACTGCAGAGGATGGAGCGCAATGGAGACGTGCTACTGAAGCGGTATGTTCCACTAGGAACCCAAAGGACAAATAAATAATAATACAGAGGATTAGTTGAGCAGATAGAATGACCTTCATTGGAAACATGTCAACCAATATGGTTGGAAGTAATCTGGATGTCCATTGATTGACTGGGCTGAATACAAATGAATACAACTTGAAGAGATCAGTAGCTCAATTCCATAAGATTCTGTGTCGAGATAAGTGACTGAGACCGCAGTTACAGGACTTCATGCTACTGACTTATGTAACCCAGTGAATGGGCTACAGTTTAACAGCACATACTGTGGTAGTGACAGGACATCATCCACAGTTGAAAAAGAGTAATGTCATAAAATGATTGGAACATGATAAGGCGATACTAACTCAACAAACTGAAACGATAATTAACTCCTTCAGTTTCATGCTCGACTAGCTTTAGGCAGAATCTTTATCGGATTTCACTTAACATGATCTATTAAAGAAACCTTTTCTTTAGTGTTTTAGGGCATAGGGTTACACTATGTAGAAGTATGACATATGTTCGTTCGACAGTATTACTGCCTTCTAATCAATGATAGAACAAAATGGGGAGTTCAGGTGAGTGATGGTGAGGTAAAGTGATCTATGGTCAATAATATGCTAGTGCTTCATCTACATATGTCAATCATCACCTTAAAGCCGCAATGTTAACTACATTGAGGAATCGAAATGAAGATACCCGTTATCAACTTTAAATATGTTAAATATGTAAATTGATAGGCCTAGATTTTTGTGGTTTATTACGCATAGGTATGTATACTAGGCAACAGGTTACACCTAAAATGAAAGGAATCATAATACAATCCAACTGCTCAAACCCACCCAGGTGAGTGGGTTCGTTGGCAAATGGATTCTTATACGTATGCCTCGATACTGCTGAATATTCATTGTGACTAGCAGAGGGATATAGAATGTGTGTTTCGTCCTATTTGAGACTCATTAGCTGGATGTGCTTGCATCCCATTGAGGGATGTTGTTCCCACTGGGGCTAGAACTCAGCACCTTCCGCTTCAAGTGCCAGAGGGTTATCTACTAAGCCACTGGGGCACGATAGCCACCTCTTCTGCAAAGGGTATCAGTTTTTGTTATTATACTTGTAGTTTACCGCTGCTATCGTGCTTCAGTGGCTAAGCGGATAACGATCTGGCGTTTGAAGCGAAGTGTATCGGTTTCGAACCTCAGTAGGAACAACACTCACAGGGGTCCAGGCAGATCCAGCTGACGAGTCCCAGATAGGGCGAAACACCTGTCCTGGATTCCTTTGCTGGATTAACATAACATCAACTGGGAATCTTAGAAATTTAAAAGGCGGTGAAAGGTTTTATCTTAACCCTTCCCCCACCCATTTTATTTCATTTCCACATCATCTGTATTCTCCTAGAAAATAATTTCTCCCGATTGTGTTGTGTTCTTTTATCCTATACCTTATGTCAGTTTACTTAGAATTCTGAGGATTATAGTCATAAAACATTCAGAAACTGTACAAAAAAACTGAGTTTGATAATATGTCGATGTCTAAATGTTTTCTAAGCTTTCAAGTTTGACAGAAAACACCTCATTAGAAATTCAGTTGAGTCAGTTAACCTGAATATAGATATAAAACAATCAATTCGTTTGCGAAGTTATTGAATTCTGAATCCATCATATATATATATATATGAAAGCAGTATGACAAACCTGGTTCGTCCAGTTTCAAAGATTTACGAGGTGTAGGGGGTTCGTTGAGCGGCGTCATCGATTGAGAATGTCCACTGAACATTGGCAGATTGTTGGGTACAGAACAATCTCTTTGACCTCGAAAATGTGAGGGATAGGAAGAGGTTGTCACATTTGAAGACCTGCGTAGATAACTAGGTTCAGTGTTATTAGAGTCTTCTCCTTTGGATGCACCGAACCAGAAGGTGGAAAATAAACGCGACCATAATAGATTGGCTGGGGAATTCTCTTGACTTTCCTCATTGGTAGAGTTTTCAACATTACTATCAGAAACACTTTGCGGATTTAAAGTTGTTTCATCAACACCGGCGTAAGCTAATGATGTAAAACATGCATGAGATCGGTTAGAAAATTATACAACAATTTAAAGCTATATGTTAGAAACAAATGTTATAAGTAGGATTTTCATCATAAAACAAATTTGTAGCTTATTGAACATTAACATAATGACAGATTTCGAGTTGTCTTTTTTTTGGCTGAGATTGAAAAGGTAACAGTAAACGTTTTCAAATACCCAGTATGACAAAACACAATACCATCTTCGCGTTTAAAGGACTTCACGTAATTTTCAAGTTTTTTAAATTAAATCCCCACAAAATTGCAATCTGAAATGCTTTTTAGTTACTTGGTTGTTTTGACATCTACTTTAACTATAGGGACTGGCTTTTCCGAGCTGAAGATGTCAGATCACTCTGCTTTTCTGATCACCATTGCAAATTTGCTCAAATCCAATGAAGAAATGTCATGTAAGTGTAATATCGGGATGAGACCGTGAGTGTTTGGGCCTGATCGAAATCTTCATTCATCAAGTGATTTCATCTTGAAACACTTGCTTCCGTGACTTCAACATGTGTTGTTACGTATGTCATTCTAGTGGCTCCCACAGGGCTAACTGTTTGCTTGACCTGGGACTGATTGCAAGAAGTGGAGAGATGGTCAGTGTATGACGTGATGGAATGATACCTGTAGGGGCCTCACAATTTCCTAGATGCGACTTATGATGACACGCAACTCAGTGACTTGAGATGATAGCAGATACAGCATAGAATCGATATCAGTGGCGGTCGTGTTGGAGTTTTCTCACTTCCATTATCGAGAGGGCTTCCACGTGCACAATGCCGAAATTGCTATTCTAATCGATGTATGTTCTTGTCTACGTTCACTTTCCTTCTTATGTCTTCTTAGTGATGCTGCATCATTTTGTGGCACATCACTTGGTGTCCATGTTTTACCAAAGTTTGTTTTAGAAGTAATAAATAAATAACCATGGTATAGAATGTATTAATGATGGATAGTAGCTAGCAGAGGAATCTATTCGGGACTCGTCAGCTGGATGTACGTGCCTTCCAGTGGGTGACGTTGTTCACACCGAGATTTGAACTCGGGATTGGTCGCTTCAAACGACAGAGCGTTATCCACTACACCACCGAGCCACAATATCTATTTCTTGTGCGACGGGTACAGTTTTGGTATAATTGCTTGTATTATGTAGTTGTCGATTGGACCGAATTGATCGGTTTCCAATGGCATATGGGCTCCTGTGTGGATGCCTTGATATTACCTGTGTTTTAGCTGCAGTAATGATGACGAGTCCGAAATAGGACGAAATGCACATTCTGGATTCCACTGCTAGGAACTATCCATCATTACTACAACTAAAACACAGGTAATATCAAGGCATCCGCACAGGAGCTCATATTGACAACAGAGACCGATCAATTCGGTCCAATCAACGACGGTCTAATACAAGCAATTATACATTATACAGAATGTTCTAAATACTTATGATAACGTGGAAAATTCATTTTATGTGGTTAAGGGACGGAGAGGTACTTCACAAATATTCACCATCCCATTCAGGTTTTCCTTATCAGTTAAGTCCCGAATCTCTTAAATCCCCCCCCCCACAACCACGCAAAACAAATGCCATACAACGACTGAAGGGTGATGAAAACATTTCCTATAGCAACAGGTGATCGATTGACGTTACAATAGACAGATTTTTCTTACAACAAATATATCGTATCTATTACGCTCATCTTACATTTATTTATTCACAGTAATTTTGCAATAAGAGAAACATAGAAGGAAATCTTCATGAGATCACTAAAATCAATTCTTCATTTATGTGTTTTTTACTGATGTTACGGAGATTCACAACACCATTTGATTGTGGACAAAGTCAGCGTCATTAGATTTATCACTACAAATCTATTCATAGTCATTCACTGTATGAAAAGCTATCAAAAAAAAATCCTCCAAATACCTTAAATCACACGGTTTTACAACATATAACTGTTTACTTGGATTTTACATATCTTGTTTGCTTGATACATTTGTCTTCCTCCATCCACCCTTATAAAAGTGCATTCAATTACTTGATTTCATTATTATTATTCAGTACAGTAAACAAAAGCATTTGAAAAGAGAAAAAATAATCGTTGGTGGTGATTAAAAGTGCTGAACATTTCGAAGATGATCAAGAATGTACACATCTGCAACATTGTGACCGATTTTCAAACCTATCACCAACAGTCTTCAATCATTGACTTCTATCACTGTGAAGACTCCAAGGCAGGTAGCCTACACCTACTTCTCACCAAATCTCAGATCAACAATAAAGAAACTTCATAGATTGGTGTCATAGGCTGATATGGCTATCCTTAGCTCTCTCCTATCCTAATCTCACTATGTTTAACATAGCATATGAAGGTAGATGGTGGCTTGGCATCCGTAATAAATGTAGAAGTCATTTTCAAAGGTGTGGGCTCACGTCATTGCTCACACCATTCCGCCACACCAGAGTAATGCTACAAAAGTAGCTATGAAATTGCCTTATGATAACAGTTCACTTATTAATATGTGGAAAAGAAACGTAGTGAATCCACATTGAAATGTTTGTTTGCCTACTCGCTTAGCCATAGTATACTTTTGTGTGTACAAAACGCTAATAAAAACACTGTATATGCCATATGAGGAGGCAAAAACTAATTTCTCCTACCACCTTCATAACCGAATATCTAGTCGAATAGAAATGTATTTAACGACAACACGACAAGTTCGTGCAGCAGGCAGTGAGCCACACCCCTATAGGGGTTAACGATACTACCTGGTGGAGTGGGGTTCGTACCCGTGACATATTGGTTGCAAACATTTAGTAACCTAGGATTACTTCATTAATCTTAATATTTCCTTAAAAATAGTATCAAAGAGACAACCGAGTTTCTGGTAAGCAATCAATTCATGGATTAACTAGGAAGCTTTTAACTCCCTAAAAATTGAGGTGTAATACTTCCAACTTTTCATCACATATTAACAGAACAATGAAAATAACAAAAAGTAGAAATGCTTCTGTATTTTTATCGTCTAGTCTTTGGTTATTTTCACAACACAGGTTATCATTTGGTAATCACTTATATTTTTTTACAACTCACGTTGCATTTATCCATACATCTCCACTAAAAGTGACTTACCTAATAGACATTTTGCAAGTACTCCAATAGGAAGTAAAGGATCGCATAGAGATAACAATCTTGATGGAGATGGTGTAAGGGAAACCAGTATAGGTGTGTAAGCTAGAAATATACCCGCAGGGTTATCAAGTATATTCTCTTGTGTAGCACGCATACAAACACCTAAAGCTAGATTCCCACCAGCTGAATCCCCACCGATAATGATGCATGCATCAGATGTACAACCTAAACGCTCTCGATTTAATGCCACCCAACAATAGGCATAATAACAGTCTTCTAATGCACGAGGATAGGGAGCTTCAGGTGCGAGTGAATAGTCAACAGACAAAATCGGACAGTCCAATTGTTCAGCCCATACACGTAGAAAGTTCTACAGTCAAGTAAAATAAAGGAAAAGTATTTAGTCACATAAAATATCCGAGAATATTTTTGAAATTTTAATTCGTCAACATTTTTAAGTATCCATATGATATTAAAACAGAATACCGTACTTACAATCTCCTTACTAACGAAATTTTCCTACCAATGCCGAAGTAGGTTATCTATCACCATACGCAAGATTAAGTCATAGGATAGCAACGGGAAATTACAAATACCATTACAACAGCTGATACCGGTTGCTATCGTGCCCCAGCGTCTTAGTGGATAATGCTCTGGAGTCCAAAGCGAAGGATGCTGAGTTCGAGCCTCAGCGGGAACAATATCACTCATTGGAGTGCAGGCACATCCAGCTAACGATTGTCAGGTAGGACGAAACACGTCCTGGACTCCTCTGCTAGTCACCAAGACCAATACAGTAAGTCATAGGACATTATGACCATAAATCGTATTCATAGTAATCAACCTCATTGAAGTAACTAATCTTATCATTAGTGTGGACCGAATTCCAACAATTAAGTTTGCAAGTGGGCCACTACGGTTAGCAACAGTGTTGCAGTGACCTTTTCTTATAAACACAAGAACTCAACCTGAATGCCTTCTGAGTACTTTGCGACCTCAGGAATGATGTTACTTTGAAAACCCGAATCTGCACTAGCTAAAGTAGCGGTCACAGACGTCCCAACTACTTACATCTTATGTATTTACACACATGATTCGTATGTAAAATAATACCTTGCATGCTAGTGAACCACATGTTTTAGTTGCTTCTCTCACAGAGATTGACTGACGGGTACGAATTTGCCGGGGACATCGACTGTGCTACCTGAGTGAATACATGATATATCCGCCTATGAAATCTTTACACCACCTATTAGTTATCAATATACACCTGTGGTGTTAGCAAGATATAAACATGTCCATGATTAGTTGATGAGAAAAAGATATCATACAAACTATTTGTGATACAACTTTTTAATACAGTCGTTTAAAAAACAACGTGAGAGATATTGTTAGTCTTTAGCCGTCTTCAGTCCGTTCTGTTCTGTTATACGGCTGAGACAGCCATTGGAAGTAGAAGACGGATCGATTACAGGGTTTTGATCACAGATGTCTTCGTAGCATTGCTCTTGGAATCAGCATGTGACCAGTGTTGAGGTCAGGCGAAGAGTGCTAAGCAAGATAGGCAAGTTGATTGATGAGGCTGTCAACCTTAGTCGACTGAGATGGCTTGGGCGTGTACTGTGCATGTCGAGTTGTCGCCTACCTCAACCCGCCATGTTAAGGCAAATAGGATTGGGTTGAAAGAGGGTTCAGGAGAACCAGACCAAGAAGTGGCATCAGTCGATGAAGTCCCTGATTGTTGGTGTGAGCTATGTGGGGAGATGTAGACTCCCTGGTTGGGGTCGCTGAGAGGAAAGGAATTAGTGGTGGTTGACGATTCTAGGTATTAGGGCTGAAAGTCGGTGACAATAGACCAGACGTATTCACTTTTTGACGTCTTCTAAAGCTTGAATATTCACACTAACCGTTATCTTCAGATTGTTTATTCTCCTACATAACTTTATCTACTTTGATATCACTCCTTCTCTATATTCACCTGTTCTTTCTGTACTACTTTGAAGTGTGATAACTTGAGCCAATGTACCCGTGTGCGAGGCTCTATGTTGATTTTGTCAATTAATCAGTTAGTTGTCTGAAAAAGTACGTGACTTTAGATAAGAGAAATAAACAACTCAAAGCGATAGAATTTAGTTGTTACAAAAATATTACGATCTACCAATCAAACTGTTAACTGAGAAACTGAATACAAGACTGATGATGACATCCAGTTACGTGTACTAGTCTAAAAAGGAATTCATAGACCAATAACTTTAAAATGTATGAATACGGTTTGGCGATTTAGGAAAATAATTTTTAGTCATTGGATCGTAGGTCTGGATAGCCAGCTATAATCTGTAGGTTGTAAAAAGTAAGTTTGAATGATATGGAAGAAACAAATTGGTTACAGTGGTTAAATCTATACAGTTCACACATCACTTTCATCCTACGGTTAAAATGAAATGGTCCGTTTAACTGGATAACATTTCAGACACAATTTATTTTTCATCGTAAAATCAAGACAACTCTACAACTTTGAGAAATAGTTCTCTTTCTCTCTCTCTCTCTCTCTCTCTGTACCATATGCGTAGAAGACGTTTCCATATATTCGGAACAGGTGCTAAGTCATTCCAATCGTGTATGTATTTGATGCTGATTCGATAAACAAAGATTCGGTTGATAATCTCCCACTCCACCTAAATAAGCTAACTTTTAAGATTGTCACTTTGTCTCACCCTATTGTGTAATTGTGTGAAACTGCATGCTTAGCTATGACCGAGCTTTTCTCTAGAATTCTTATATTTTGTGATTTTGTGCTCAATTAGCTTAATTCACCCTGGTCAACTACCTTAACCCCAAAATCACTGAAGAGGATTTGGTACACCGATTTATTTTGCCCAATTGGAGCAATAGCATCGTATAGCTTACAAAGTTTGTTTCGAATTTTATTCTTAGATTTAAATGTCAATAATTTCGTCTGAATAGGATTCCTGCATAATGTTTCCCTGTATGAGATAACCTTAACTTTCAATTCTCTCACTTAAGTGTTGCTGTTATTATTATTATTATTATTATTATTATTATTATTATTAACACCTGTTACTACTACTACTGGCTATACTATCCCCACAATTTATGAATTTTTCGATGAACTTAGATGGGTGATTAATGGACATACTACCTTAATGTGACTCTGAACAACAAACTTTGTCGGTAAATGTAACTGTTTCATTATATGATGCACCAAATAATTTCATCAAACATCCATTATAATGTCCATGTTTTACTCCTATAATAAAACTCGCTTTCTGTTGAAATATGAAGACTCCGAAGATAGAAAGCTACTTGGTTTTTATACGTCAACTGAGAACATTACAACGGTAGCAAAGTTGAAGTCTAATAAGCTATATTCCCGAAAATAACGATTCTATGAAATAAACTAGTAAGTTACATGAGTATTTGTAAAAAACTGCTCACGCCGCTTACCAGCCAGATCATTGGTGACCTAAACACTAGATGGCAATCTAGCTCGTTTGAGTCTGAGCTGATCGGCGGAGTGTTCAGATTGATTCAGTTCAGACAGTCGAATAGTTCAGACCATCCAAATTCGAAATTTGATGCTAATTATCAGTAGCTATACTTTTATATTATTTATTTACCATAATCCTACAGTCATTCATTTAATATGACTATTTCCTCTTATCCATCGAAAATTCATTAAATAAATTAAAAATTGGTAAATACCCTGAAGTTGTCAGACTTCCTTATAACTGTTAGCAATTATTGCTGAAACTCCAGCAAATATCATTAAATTCTAAAAAATCGGTCTTCAATGACCAACTTTTCTTCCATCGAACATGACTACTTACTCTGAAATGGTGGAGAATAGTTGTAGCTCAGGTGGATGGTCTTCCTCATTGGTTGATAGATTCAGTCTATGTCTATACATTTATTGACTGCTGACTGACTTGAATGTCAAGCTTCTAGGAATTCTCTGATATTCATTGTGTTTCCTCTATCCAAGATTTTTCGCTACATTATCAAAACTAAATTCGTGTTCATAGTTATCCATATGCAATGAAATGAGTAATGAAATGTCGTGGTGTTCATGTAGACGAAGGCGAAGAGGATGACCACTTTATCGAATGTTGTGTTGACTACAGTTGATTTTGTAAATGATACTCGGTTCGTCTTCTATGGTTGTTGCATCCTTTGGTCTGCATAGTAGGGTTTGGAGGGAATTTGTTGATCTATGAGCCACACCAATTCGAAATGGTCTCAGTAATCTTGTCGTGATTTCTGATATATTCTTTATATACAGTAGGACGATGCGTCTGTTGATTTGTCGACGACTTTCTAGTTGACGTTGTACGGGATAGGTATCTTCTGATAAAGTTCCATCAGTAGCCGTTCTTCTTTAGGGTGGATATCAAGTAATTTTCTTCGTTTCTCCGTAAAGTTGTTGTACTGCCGTGTATTCTCGCTCTTTTGAATAAGGTCTGCACGCAACTAATATTGTGCACTGTTGGGTTGTTGCTACTGTAGTTGAGGATTTGATCAGTGTGTCTTGGCTTCCTGTACACTTGGGTTTCCAGCTTTCCGGCATTTTTCTAACTGACTAAACCATCCAGGAATGGTAGTTGGTTGTTCGACTCCTTCTCCATCGTGAATTTGATATCACTGAAAACGTCGTTGATCAAACTATGGGTGTTTTTTATATCATCTTTCTTAATGATGACAAAAGTGTCGTCCACATAGCAAATCCAAATTTTGGTTTAATCACAGGTAGAATTTTGGTTCCCGGTCTTTGCATCAGTGTTTCTGCAATCAGTCCGGATATCGGTGATCCCATTGGAGTTCCTTTCATCTGTTTGTACATCTTGCCGTTGAATTGGAAGTATATTGTCAGGCATAGGTCAACGAGTCCCATCAAACTTGAATATTTACGTTCTGCGTGTTTTGAAAGGCTTGTCTTCAGTGAGCAGGAAGGCATAGTCTCCTTGGCCAAGTGGGGTTCGATGGATGTGTTTGGTGATAGCATAAATTCGTAGTTTTCTATATTAATGCTTTTGACCTTTCTAAGAATTCTGTTGGTGATCGGATGGAATATCCGCATGATTGAACAAGGTGTTTCAGTTTTCTTGGAAGTTCTCTTGATATGTTGTATGTTGGAGTTCCCGGAAGGGAGACTATTAGTCGTAGAGGGATGTCTGGTTTGTGTAATTTTGGTCTGCCATAGAACCAAGGAAGGGCAGGTCCATTCGATTTCACTCGCCATTTGTCTTGCTTTGTTATTTCTTCTCCTTTGAAAAGTTTGTCGTCTATAAAGACGATGAAAGCTTCGCGATTAAACAACCCAGCTCAGAGAACACAATACAACCATGATTACTGAATTCGTTTTTCGAAACACTTGCAATTCACAACAGACAAACTCATTTTTATCACCAGTTTAAGTGAGGTGAGGAGTATGCGCACCTAGATTTACAGACAGGTAACAGCTACTGAACTATCTAGCCAATAAGTTCAAAATACATCCAGAGGAATATGGATGTTAATTGTTATACCGTTAATATACTATAAAACATAATATGGATGAATAATTAGAAAATGCCTAATCAACTCTCTAACAATTAAGTAACCCAAACCACAGAATTCCCCCTTGATATCTGATACCTACACTCCATTTATCTAACAACATTGCTGATTTTTGCCAGTCAATTAAATCATAAATACAATGACCATTCAAATGCCCTGGTATGGATGAGGGTGGATTAAGTCAGCTTGTCCTCCAGAAACACCTTCACACAGGGTGATGCGTTCTTAGTCTTAGTCGAAGAAGTTCTTCTCACTACCTTGACGCAAAGAAGGTGTTTCCACAAATGTGATGAAAAGGTTAAAGCAAATATCTAACGTTTATAATCGGGTGGTCTATATAGGAGTTGAAACTACATCTCCAAACTGCATTATTATATTGTAGTTGTTGAACTTTCATACCGACTATAGTGTTCTGTTGTGTGGCAAATTTTTCAGTTCTCAAGTTGAACTGAGCTTGTGTTTAAAAAAAGGAAATAGAGATATACACAACAACGATTGGGAGAGAAAAACAATTATGTAATTGGCGGTCGCATACGAATTACAACAATTACACAAAATATAGACTACAAATGGCGCAAAAATCAGAGGAAATTTATGAATGACTTACATCCTGTGATTGAGAATTTAAAGCAATAAATCCACCACCATGTATGTAAAACAACATATAAGAAGACTTTTTCAAACTAGAACTATTCTTGGTTGAAGTATTCAATACTCCAAAATTAGTATATGAAAACGCCGACCATCTGAGCTAGAATTCATAGAAGGAGTTAGTGATTTCCTTGGTGAAAATAATCCAAAAGTTGGTGACGGGACTGAATTTGATCTTGCATTATGATTTCCTTGATTTTTATGGTTGGGTGATTGTAAAAAGTTGGGAGATTCACAACCTCGAGTCCATTCTAAACCAGGTCTAAGATGACGACATAGTACACGTAATTTTAGTGGAGCTATGCCAGTATGAGATTTAGGAGGTTCTATTTCAATAAATTCTAACCAGAAAGAAAGAACATGAGTACATCTATGCATCAGATACAGGTTTGTATACTAGATCACAAGTTATATCGAGATTTTAACATTAATCCTACTGATCCCTCAGCCTTCGATAGCTGGAGAAAGGTTTGAAGTCAGAACCTACTGACCGATAACTGACTGTCTAGCTTAAAAAGTCATAGCTTCATTGGTCACAACGAATGACAAGGCAAAACAAAACAAAGCCCAATTTAAGTACGCATAAAATACTTTTTGATACAACAAAGTATGACCAATACAACAGAAACAATTTTTCGTTGTGATATTCGATAGTTTGTGCTTTCTGAGTAGAACTACCCAATTATAGACTTCAGAAAACTGAAAAAGCTGGCTAGCGTTCACTAATTCTTCATGAGCTGCATAGCTTGATTGTGAGTGGTCAGTCTGATATTCATAATGATCTGCCTGTCTCATACTAATTATTATTTGACAAGTAACTTAAAGTTATATTTATTCTCCTACTAATCAACTGGTAGACTGGATCTACACCAATGTGTCTGCCAATTACTAACTGACCTGAAGCCGAAAAGTACTACTTTTTCAGCGATCTCAATATCTAACCAGGACCTATTGAAGTCCTTGAGTATACATACCCAAAAGTCAATGTAGTGCAACCAGTAAGTCATAAAATACTGACTTTATGCACGGTAGGTGAATCATGTGGTCATCACAGCTCGGCCAGTAGTTTCTATAAGAGAAGTGACATTCCAAGATACAAATATTTTCTGGAAAATTTGGATTACTACTGTTAATTAATTAATCCTTGGAAGATTATGTTTCGACCGAAGTGCATGCATTTGTGAGTGATGAAAATTACATAAGAAAACTCCTTGTAACCAGTGGAGTTAGGACAAAATAAGTTTACTCTCAAAAAAGGTCTGGACTCATCTGATTTCCAGGTGACATGGATAATCATCAATGGGAACTATACATTTGTTGGAGTAATTAAGCATGACAGGAATAGATATGATGATAAAAAAATAACTAGTATTCAGTGTGCAACTACTAGTCACGTCATCGTCTGCAGAAATCAGGCGCAAACTAGCGAACTCTGCCCACGAATAATCACCTGTGTCGTATGTCTAGCCACCGTCTGCTTCGTTGCACAATTTTGGCCGAAGTAGGTTCAGGCTGGAAAAAGGCTCAGGGCGACCAGACTAAAACAGGATATCAATGCATGAAGTCCTTGACTGTTCGTTTGACTCCTGTTCAGAGATCCTATGGTCAATGCACAACACAGACACGATGTCCTGTTAGGTAGAAATAGTGAAATAAGCAGGCACACTATTTTCAGCATACTTCTCCCGTTTACGAAACACAAGGTGATGCATCCAAACTGGTCCTTACTCATACCTGGTTATATTGAGAGAAGCAATTTGAAACTGCTGATACCTTCACCCATCTGAAAATCTGCATCAACACAAGTATTGCCAGTTTGATGCTTTACTGACTGTTCTATATGATGAAACTGCTAATCAATCCTCAGTCTTAATCTTATCGTGACACACAAGGAAAGCGCCTTACACTCGTTAGTAAGAAATTATAGGCTGTCTAGTGACCTTCACTTTTGTTCTCAACTGGTTGTAGACTATTAGTTAAAGGATACCCAATGATATCATACTGAACCTTATTCTTATGTATGCTACCAACAGTATTCTATCACAAAATGTGAAACAACCAATCTCTTAACCTTTTTGATCATCATTTAGTTTGGGTTCTCTGAAATAGTCATAACTCAAGTGTAGGCAATCAAAAGTTTCCTCTCATGAGTACTTATCAGCCGACCATACTACATTATCATTCTCAGCCTATCCACTTGATATTTATTTTATCAATACGCTCAATCAAACAAATATTGTTCACAGCACTTTTATAACTCAACTGGTAATTTTTCGAAATCAGTTGATGGAAAAGTGGATTCCATTATGGACTGACGTCAGTCAGAAAATCCTTGAAAATCTGGGAACATCAAACAACTGTTTTATTCTAGATTAGGACTCCACAGTAGTGTGCATACATAACTGCATGAGAGAAAACTCAGGACTGAGCACGTTATCACTTAGCCAACTAGTCATTATCAACATTTGACCTGGTATTACTGTATGGGAATTCAAGTGGCCACACGTCCCATCAGCAAAAGACGGCAAGGTGAAAGATAGAGAAATGGAGGGAAGTGCAATCAAAAGTTGTAGAAAGTCATAAGGCGAGGAAGAGGTGACACTGTTCATCTACTTGGTCAAAACCTAATGGTCCATATTTTCCTACTTGCTTAAAATCTCATCAGCGAGTATTAATCCTCACACCCGACTTGGCTAACCTTACAGGACAGTCTTTCATTAAAATTCCAAAACAGCTGTCCGATCTCTTGGGGTTTTCAATTGTTTTCTAAATGATGTTAGCCCATGATGAAGACTTACATTGAAATCAATCCTTCTGCTCAGATATAGATTAAATGCAAAATAAATAATTGTCCTTAGTGATAACGTACAGTAATGACGGTTAGTCAGTTAGCTAAACTTTTAAAATATAGTCAAAGAAAGATCAGTCCATGTAATACTTGGCCAGTAGCCCTAACTATGTGAACAGACCCAGGCATTTGAGAGATGTATGTGTCTGAACAACCGGATCAAAACTTAGATAGGAAGAAGGAAACCAAAATTTATTTCTCTGGTTTCTTTCAAATACAAATATTTCCACTTAGTGGCTCTAAAACATGATAAGAAAAGTGTACATACCTTTATCTTCTTTTTGAGCTTCAGTACGTAAAGGCATTTGTAATGATTTTGGCTGTATTTTAAAAGAATGAGCCACAGCCATCGAGGGTAAAATCACATTGGGACCTTCAGATACGACACGTAGTTCTGCCAAACTCCAAAATGTTTTACAGAACTGTACACTGGAATTTCGTGTAAGCTTTGCTAACACCTTACCACGATCCTCAGGTGATAGGTATGATGTAACAGACCGATAAACTGTATTGACTAAACTGGCGATGCCTTGTTTGCTGGTCTGAAAATAAATTTGAACAAAACATTGTTTGGACAGAATCTTGAGCTTAAAATAACCATTGTACTCGATTAGTAAGGTGTCCATAAATACTATCCTACAACAACTGGATTGGTTAGGTAAAACGTGTTTGGTGAAATCTCATATTCGATTAGTCTATCTGATATAACACACGGTGATAAAGTATCATTGATTGGATGACGTTTCGAGCGCAACTTATTGTTTAGATCATATCATATCCTTGATATGATCACAAGCAACAAAGTGTGCTCAAAGACCATCTAAGAACAAATAATGCTGCATCATTGCCACACCAAGTAAACTAACATGATATGGAGCTACACTATCACAGTGCCTGCACTTTATACCTACAATAACGTTTGGCGAAGGTTACCAAAAGCATAAGTTCATGTAAACTTTTTTTGCAGTCTCATACAAAAGATTGTCACGTTACAAGACTGATTAGATACGGCTGAATGGACAACTATCTACATCCTCCACGACAGTGTTCACGAAACAGACGATTTAACAGAGAAATCAACACAAAAGTACACTGTCTCAAGTTGCCGAACTCTTGTACAGCTATGCAGTTACAAGACGACACAAGATGAACAGAAAAGGCTATAAAGGGGATAAAGACATACAGTCAGATTCCCAAGATTCGAATGATAAGACTGACACGTCAGCCAAAAATGTGGTCGATTTTGCAGCCAAATTTCTGCCTATCAATCCCAATTGTTTCAGTGATCTCAATCAGAAAGCCTACACTTATCTACACGGTTCAAGCAATCAGAAACTTTATGCATAGGTGCCATGTCTCGGTGTGATCATTCTGAAGTTTCCTTTTTAACATATCGATCGAAAATCGAGATGTACTCAGTAACTTTGTGCACATTCATCCAAAAGACGATGAGCCACACATATTGTTTGATGGCTAATAATACTACCTTACTGAATAACCGTGGTAGGTCGGACAGTGTTCAAACCTATGACCCGTTGGTTGGAAGTCATCTCCCTAAACCAGTAAGCCATAGCTCCACATTATTAACATGCCCCGATAACCATAACACCGAGGTAGGAGGTGGTTGAATGTAATATAATGCACACTTCAACCATTCCGATCGATGAGAATTCACAACCTCACTGACTGATTTGACCTGTTTACTTAAGATTCAACATCTCACTTCTGAATTGATTACTAATTGATTTCAACGAATGTAACCAATGATAATGAGGGAACAGACTAAATGGCTGTAACTTCCCAAATTCCCCATCTGTAATAGCTTTTTCGAAGCCCATTTAGTTAGACGGAAAATGCTACCACTATTAACGAATCAGGGTTAATATCAATTCGAAGATGAACAAAGTGGTCACTGAGTTCAACCACCTTGTTTTCTGCTGTCACAGCGTCCATGCAGACCAAACCTGCAGCAAAAATTCACAGTAGAGATGAAAAAGATAACTCAAATATCTTTCCACTGGCATTAGGGGCACCTAGAATTGTCAGTAATACAAGATTCAAAAGCAATCGAAAATGGGGATCCTAACAACCATTATAAACAAGCCTATATGCAGTTTTTAATTTAATAAAAGACTAAATATCATGTAATTTTCCACAAGCTTAGACACCGAATACCGTGTTTGATTTAGAAATGTCTGTCAGAAAGAAGACTTCTTCACTTCTTTCTAAAGTCTGTGTCGATGATATTGTCTAGAATGACAATGAAGACTTCACGACTAAACTATCTAGCTCAGAAAACACAACATCACCAAAATTATCCTCCTGAACTACAAACATTCTCCGTCATCTCAAAATAGTTACATCTTCCAGCACACTTATGGATATTAATCGTTGGAATGTGGGTAACTTCTTATTTTTTGTTGATTGTAATACAGTACTGTTTAGACAATATCAACAACGAGAAAGATAACTTATTGTATCGACGTCCTTACCTTATGCAATATGTCACCCACACGGTATAAATTTAATAAAGGATTCCTAGCAAGAAAACCAATTTTTAAGAAGCTAGGTAAAAGAAACTATTACCTTCAGAAGTACTTTTCAGTTGAAGTTTGATAGAAAATAAACCTTAAACATAAAGAACCAAGGATATGTTATTTTCAATGTACAACAAATGAATGAACCCACCAAAAAGCTATTACCATATCCAGCCATTAATGAATTCAAAAACTCCAAAACTCTTTGAGCACTAGGACACATGTAAAAAGCCAAACACCGACCATAGAAATACTCCTGTTTTATGTTATCTGTTACAGCTTCTAATCGGTAAAATTCTGATAAGTCCTCAAAGTATTGTTTTGATTTAAATGTGGAATTGGCATTTTCAGTTGTATTTCTTGGACTCCTTGTTACACGTTGAGTGTCGCAATGCCCTATTTCTGGCAAATCAACGAATTCAGATCGAGGGAAGAGACAAGAAGGATCAGTGAAACGTGGTATATAACTAAGAAGTTCGAGACACACATTGAGTTCCATTAGGCAATTAACATACGAGATTACACTCCGATGGGTTACACCAGACCTGAGAGATCAAAATTAAAAAAATAATTGCCTGCGTTAGCCCCAACTACAACAAGAATGTAAAATACTTCACTCTAGAATGTGGCAGATAGTATTATTACAAAACAAACGAAATACTGAGTTACGTTACCAGCTAGATTTGAATGGATTCCTCATATTATCACTGCAGGATATAAATAAGTGATTGAGATGATCGGCAAAACAAAAAAGGAAAACTCAATGACCAACTTTAAATAGACGCAGGTACCATATGGGATGCCAACAGTTTAATCACCCTACGATTACTCTAAAAACGCTGATTATACAGCATTAAGAATGGGGCGACGGTATCAAAGCTCTTTAACCTGACCCTGAGATAAGTCTAAAGTAAATAAAAGCAATATATTCTTAGATATTACCGATTAAGATCCTTAAATTCGGCAACTCAGGTTTTCTGAGTACAATAATGTAAGCTGCATCGATTATACTCGATCATAGTCAATCGAATGCTGTAACTGAAATGAATTAGCATATTTTGCATTAAAACTTGCTTCATCTAAACTTTCTCCGGTACCCATACAGCCACCCAGGTACAAGAAATCGACTAATCCTAGCGGTTCTTCATCAAAATTGAGTGCATGTAGAATCTCTTATCAGTTTTGTAAGAGTATCGGCATTGTTTTTTCGTGTAAAATGGTATCTTCAGGAGTTTAAACAAAGGAAGAAGGAATAGACCTACTAAATTTTTAAATCGATAGTATATAATATGTACTAAACCTAAGAAGGGAAATCAACTGGTGAGATGTGGTTTTGAAGATGGAGCTGTGGGTTATTGGTTTAGGGGGATCAACAAAAGCAAAAGAAAATTGAAATAAACACAAAATAATCACGACTGGTTGGAGCACAAGTAGCTATGCAATAGATAGATATCCAAGCTTTAATAGAAAAGTGATACAAGCAACTCCTTCATTTTACCTAGAACCCTTAACCATAGACTCTTAACACTTAAGACCTGGATGGGCTTGCATCGATAAGAATTTCACCTGCCGATAGGCTATGGAACACATGCAGACTTAGTGGCAGCCGATACTTGCCATATTACTTACCCTTAAGGTAACATTCGACCCTTTCAACCGTAAAGTGTTGTGGCAATGTCTCATTTCGAAACGATTACCGGGTAAACCGATAGCGCTAGTCAAAGCTCCCTACTCGAACTCATGAAATCATGTAAGGGCTTATGGAGAGTTTTCGTGTGAATTGACGACAACTAGTGGTGTCCGCCATGGATGCCTATTGTCACCGTTCCTATTTAGGTTAGTCATAGATGTACTAGTGGACATAACCCCGGGTACATCTGACTTCAAATGGATTGACTTACTCCCTGGATGTCATCTGGTTGATTTAGAGTATGTAGACGATATTATCCTACTGGGTGAAGACGCCGACAAAATGCAGACTATTCGGAAAGCGTTGAGCAGAAATCTGACTTGTTTGGCATGCGTTTCATTGGCACCTGCCAAATGTAAGATGATGCTGCAAGTCTAGTCTGCAACGACTTCCAGCTTAATGACGGGCAGTAAAGTGGTGGGATGAGTCGTTCTCCTTACTTACTCGTCAAGGCTAAGAGAAAAGTACTAGGTGAGGAGGGAAACTCCCTGAATGAATTTGTGAACTTTCAGCGATTCACACGGCTTGAATATGTTTTGTTGATGTCAAGCCGCCACCGACCTCGATGTGCAATGCTAAGAAAAGTTGGATTAGATTAAAAGAGGATTCAAGGTGGTCAGATCGAAATACGGTATGAATCCACAAAGTCGCTGACTGTTGGTCTAAGCCATGCAGCCTACCTGACTGGGGTCGCCGAGATCATAGGAATCGGTGGTTGACGACTTTTGGTGATATGGTTTAAAAATGGTCACAGTGACTCAGATATACTTACTCTCTGACGTCTTCCAAAGCTTGAGTATTTTCACTTACCTTCGTTTTCAAATTTTTTCTTCTCCCATGCACCTTTGTCTATTTTGATATCAGTCTTTTTCTATCCACTTATTCTTTGGATGCTACTGTGAAGTGTGGCATCTCTAACTAAAGCACTTCTGTGCGAGTTTCTACGTAAACTTTGTCTATTCGCCTGATTCTTAACATCGCAAAATCTCGAATCAGAATCCTCATTTCCTTACTCAGAGAAGATCAACGTTGATGCAACCTTTTACTTCGATGAAGGTTACACAAAGTCAGTGCAATTACTGTTCATATACTGGACATTGGTGAAAAAAGTCTTGGAGCATTTTAAATTTGACAAGTAAGAAACTTATATCATCCTCAATATGTGTGATAAGTCTGAACGGAAACAATAGTAGTAGTGACTGTAATTACTTCATACGACAAGCATTCGGAAAGCTGTATACAAACGCTGCAGTTTGAGCCAAAATCTTATTCATAGCATAGCTACTTTATGCAACTAGCTCATGAATAGAGTTTCCACAAAGCTTACTGACCAGTAGATTCAAGTATAACCTACAGGTGAAGGAAAACAGATTAGTTACAAGTCTTCAGGAGTCTACTCAGTGCTAAAATGCATTTGAGTTCATAGTTTTAGCCAAATACCGGGACGTGTAAAATTTATTATTTTCCAACATCCTATCTCAACAAATAGTTGTCTGTATCAAATGTGCATTAGTCTAAATGTTCCTGACAAACTAGTTATTTTGGACACTTAATGCAAGCATTATAGATATAAAACGAACACCTTCGGAAGTAGCTAAGAGAAGGGAATGTGAAAGGTTTTAAGTCTCATGCAGGTCCTTAAAATTGCACATGTAAATTACCATATCAATGTATTCATAAAATCCCTGGACAAATACTATACAAGATCTGTTCACCCACACATAAGAATCAAGTAACAAACGTGAGTAATTAAGTCTTTACCATTGAAATTATTACCCAGATCAGTAAGAGGAGGCAACTGGTCTGAATCTTATGACAACCCAATTTTTCGTCCAAGAAAATCTTCAAGAAAACACAATAAGTTTTTTTGGATACAAATAAGTCAGAAAATTTGTTTAAATTAGAAGTAGAGTTTGTAAGTGGCTTCAACCTACTTTCTATGGATGGCGAAGATTAAGGATGACGACCCAAAACCAAAAGCTTACTATATAACCCCGAACAACGAATCACAATATTTAGGCATTGTCGAGTGGGACATTCAAGAATACTATTCACATTTTACGTCCACAGTCTCACCATACATTCCTCTTCCAATTATTTTAAAGATTCGATATGAGGAAAACTAGTGAACTCTTATGGTGGAAACGTGAGTGCTTAACACCATAAGGGGTTTACTAATGGCTATAATTTTAGATGCGAAATATGCAGGAGACGGAAGTGTGTTAGACATGCAATGCGGTAAATTTAATTTACGTGTATTATTTTTGTTCTCAAAGTCAAAATTATCTCTGACAAAAACACTATCACACCTAGATGTTAAAAAAAAACAATGAGAGTAAATGAAGCCGGGACAGCAATCAACTTTTATTTGTTATGCGATGGCTACAACACTGCAGAGTTATGGAAAACGAGTTGAGTTGGCAGACTTATGAAACCGTTTTGGTTAAACAGGTCTGAGTTCCCGGGATTATACAAATTTTAACTAATTAATGCAAATTAACCCAACATCACCTTGTGTACTAGACTATGAGCCACGTGTAAGGGCTTATGATACTACACGGCAACCCACGCAGAATTGGGTGGGGCGGGGTTCGAACCTAAAGTCCATTGTTTGAAAGTCGAATTCTGAGGTCAATGAGCAACAATCTCCACAGGGTTATACAATGTTACTGAAAAAGCTCATAGACGAGGTAATAAAAAACTTAATAATAGCTCTCCAACCATGAACAGCTTTATGTACTAAGCAATGAGCAACATATCACCCGTTACTGATATAATTCGGTTGCCTAAACCGAACCTGAAATCCACTAATTGAAGAAACGACTGTTTAATCTAACGCACTACGACTAAGAGAGAATGTAACTGACGTGATAAGGAAATGCTACTAAACATTTTTAGGAAAGTTTCCTGAAACAGAAATACAGATGAGTGGCTGGTGCAAACTAAGCTAACTTCAATGGATTTTACTTACCATACCCCAAACTACTCATCAGCATCTATAAAGCCAACAAATGCGATGCAAATTCAACAGTCTATAGAAACAAATCAGATTAATAAGTGGCTCCCGAAATGGTGTGGAGTCACTTGGATGAGGAAATGCATAAAAACTGATCTCACTTCCCAATTGGTACCCAAATACAAAATAGAGAAATATCTTTATATGTACAGGAAAATTATTATGCATAACCACTTTCATTCCTCCCTGGTATTTTACATACACTTTTGATCCCCAGTGCATTTTCAACCCGATTACTGAGTCACTCAGTAAGTAGTTAGTTTCAGGTCACTTGTCTTTTATCTTTGTCTTGCGGATTTAGAATGCACTTAAAGACCGCTTTCTACCATAACTTCCTGGAGAAATGACTCGCAGTTGTTATGCGCTTTAATGATCGAATTTGTAGAAAGGATGCATTGCTAACGTTTGGCATGCGATATTCGGTTGTCTAGCATATTAATATGACCTTTTGGCATGGTGTAAAGATACATAGTACGGTACGGAAATTAGGTTAAGTATTCTCGATTTACGACCATCCCCGAAACCCCGAACTAGTGATAACCAATAGAACTCCTAGCCACTAGCTACTCCTTAATTATACAAATTAACCAAATGACGGTTATATACACAGAAAAAAGAAGCCCAGAGCATTACGAATATCACCAAGCTCTTGGAGTTACTTTAGAGTAAGACAGTGTTACTAAGTAACCAATGTTTTTACGAAGGAATATAAATTTGCCTTACTGTATTCGACCTCAGTTCAAGTATTCAGTAAAGAATAGATAGTAATTTTGACCATCTTCTAAGAGTTTGTGTAAGCCTATGATTCTAAGCGCAACTATGAAAAATTGTGAAGAAAATGGAGACGGGCTGGTAATAACAACCACTGAGAAAAAGACGCGCAAAACGCTCACCTCGACGTAATGAGCTATAGGTAATGCAACTAAACATGGTACAATTTTAACACGGCTCTGAGCTTACGATACAACCCAGCTGCACAGGCTGAAGGAGGGTACAACGGGTAATGGACTGGAAATTCTCTATACTAGCAGAGATCTAATCTGTCATGAAGAGTTCTCAGCCCACAAAACGAAAGAAGCTAATCTTCTTGCACACGAAACTGAATGAAGTGACTGATATATGTTTAATAACCTTGCTTCATACAAAAAATAGTACTATTTCTGCAATGAAGCCCTGACTTACCAGTTGGAAAGAGAATATGAACTCATCTGTCTGAGGTGCGTCAATAAGACAGCACAACATCTCATAGTGATGATTACGAAACTCCGAATTCCATTCGCTCGCAAGGAGCCAAAATCATAACTGCTTGCGATCGAGTACAAATATTTTATTCTTCCAGAGAAACCAGAATTCAGCAACGTATGAAGCTTCTTCATAGCAATAACGACATTAGTTTCTGAGTCTAAGCTTTCAGAGACATTACTGTCTGGTGTTTGATTAGTTCGAATTATTGCAAGGTATGTCCTGCACTTACAAGAATAAACAGGGTTGAGGTCAATCTTACTTGCAAGTGCAGCTCCGAGCACAGACGAACCATCTGTGTACATTCCGAAGTGTCTAGTGACTTTTTACTCTCATCTAGATGAGTCACACTACCATAAAGGAGGAATATTTAATACTTACCTTTATTTAGACTAGATGAATTAATTTTCTTGTCCATATTAAGCCTGCTACAAAAGAATCTCACAGAGCTTGGCGCCTAAATGCATCTTGTGAACCGAAAGTATGTATATATATACCTCATAGTGAACTCTTGGTTCGCCAAGATGCGTTGCCATCCGACTCGACAAACGCTTACATCCTGAAAATCCTAACCAAGCGCCTGAGGCCCTAAACATATAACCTCAGATCGTTGAAAGATTCAAACCCAACTCAACACTTTTCGTCGACAAGACATTCGGCTAGTAGACATTCAGTTCAATGGCTTTGGAAGTCTAATTTCACTTGTAAATCGTTATCAGAAGGTAATGAAACTATGAGTTTCACTCATTCAATGCTTGGTAAAAGGAAATTGTAGATATAGTTGGTCCGACCATCGTTTAGAAACTTTCTGAGGTCTCCTTGGACGATAAGACCTGAGGCTAACTGAGAAAGGGAGAAAAAGAACCCACCAGCCGTTGTCTTAAAAGCAAAATACTTGTGACAACTGGCCGTTGGTAGGTTTTCGTCTAGCTTGAATGTATATCTTTGCTAGGAGGCGCATAAAAGAGTGTGAATCTAGCAGTGACCACGAGAATGTAGAAGAAACGAGAGAAGAAGAAGAAAATCAGCCCATGACTGGGCAAAAAATGTACTTGCACCGGAGGATAAAGATAATCGACAGTCGGTTGTGATTCGTTGTGGAAAGATAAAGCAGTTTAGAAATCAAAACTAGAAAGCTGATGATTAAGTTTTCACATGTGTTGCCTACTAATATGAAATCAAGCTTTGCCCTACAGGGCGACAATGGAAACAGATTCCGCTGCTGTAGACATTGGAAATGGCCCTCGTCACCCGGGTTTTCAATTTCTGGGTCTTACCCTACATTTTTGCTTCACACTTGTTAAACAGGCTAGCCGCTTGAATCCCACATCCTCGACTGGATCCTAAAAACTTTGGATGCAAATGCCAGAGCACACGTACATCGTAATGAATTGTTTATTTGACATAGCGCACAGTGATACAGTATTATTTACTGGATGGCGTCTCGGGTAGAGTTAGTCGCTCGCATTCATATTTACACCCTTGCCAAAGCTGCTGAAGGCCTTCCGAAGAGACCATAAACTTCAAAAGCTGAGAAACGTTTTGTAATTACAACCAATCAGGACACTTTGGTCTTCATATTAAACTGCTTTATGCATCAACATGTCACTGATCAGGTGCTCAGGTGCATCCTTATGATCCGTTAATATGACCCTTTTCCTCGTCAGGGACAGTCGAATACCCTATTCATGGTCTCTACCACAACTTTACTGTCATGGTTTGTCAAATATACTATCCTATACAGTGCATCAAGTTTACCCTGTTGAATTCGGTCTGGTTGCCTAATTGTGGCGTTAAATCGTATCAGATGCTCGAACAAATTTCTAGAGTTATCAACCCGCCTCCATGAATCTAGCTAACATGATACAGGAGGGTATTTTGGTGGGTGACTACTAACCTTAAGGCGAATTAAACTACTTCAAATGGCACTAATCGAAATCCGGGTCACTACTGAGTAAAATGGAGTCTTTGTGAAGCTTTCCATGTTTTAGTGTCCATCGTAATGCTGGTGCGATAACATTGCAAGAAACCTGATCACACACCATATACTATGGCGACTTATGTCTGTAAATGGTTTGGATATGGTTCGCCAAGATGGGTGTAGTTCTATGAAGTGTGGTTGGTGTGTGTCTACTTTTATCAACACTGGGAAGTATACTGGAAATTATACATATTTCGTCCATTCTAATGACCCTATCGACTGTATCGCTGCCTCAAACATTAATATATCTTTGAATTCATTAAGGTCATGAATATTTGAACGTCTCCTGGTTGCAGCGATTCCGAATTATCCATATTCGATAGCGAACACGTGGAATTTGCCGCTCGCATAATGTGTGGTTGACTGCCGAACGTTTATGGTAATTTCAGCCCCAATGACCGCAACTTCCTACGTTCTCTCGGCCACAGTAATCTTCCCAGTTTCTCAACAACTTTTCACGCTACATTGGCCTTCGCGTTCGTTGATGGCCCTTCTATGAATGAAGCTGCAAGACCTGCACCACTGCTGAACTCAGATCACTGTATTGTACTTTTTCTGTCTAAAACATCTGACAAACCGAAAAAAATTACCTTTGTGTGCCCATCCAAGAAGACTGTAGACAAGGGCTTTACATACGCCGACATGTGCAGTCAGATGCATGCTACAAAACACAATGGAAAATATTTGAAAATTATGCCTTGGATGACACAATCTACGTTGTTACGTGGTATCTTAGACTTTGCCGTGATGTTTGTGGCCCAGTTGAAACAATTTTTCAAGGTTGGACAGACCTTCTTCTTCCCAACTAGGAGAAAGGCTGGAAACCGAGGGGTTACACCGGCCTTGAACACCTTAACTACGCCTGAAGTCTGGAGTAAATCTGTAGAAAGAGGCCTAAATTTAAGGCATAGCAAGGAGACTACGTCATGTGATGACTCATCTGGTATATGGAGACCTATCAATCACCTAAATGGGAAAAGTCAGAAATGAAGCTTGCGAAAACGTTTATGCGGTAAAAGCAGTCATTCATATGTGAACCTCCAAATGTGGTGCTTCTCATTTAATAGAAAGCAGTTTTCCTAGATATAATTAAGCAGACATGTCCAAACGTCCGAAATCCCGAAAACTTTAGCAGTGCCTCGTACCAGGTGGGATACCAGGTACTGCATGTTTCAAATGTGCTGATGCTTTGTGTCATCCACTCGTGAAGGTTTTCAAGAGGTTCTTAGCCAGAAATGACATACCAACCACCAGGTGAGCAATTAAAATAGTTCTCACGCCTAAGTCGATAACGTCCCAATCAAACTAAGGGTCCAGCTGATCACAATAACCTCACCATTTCTAAAACAATGGAAAAACTGCTGCTGCCTCTTGTGACTGAATTTCCCTTGGAAGCATTAAGAGGTATAAACTGATTTGCCTACGTACCTAGAAGGAGTACTTTCGATACCACAGTTGTTCTATGTCACAATATCATCTCCTTCCCACAGTATTCTCAGCTTAGTAACTTCTCGATCGAAATAGGTAGCGGGTCTTCCTTAAATGGCAGCCCACCCAATCCTTCCATATTTCATATCGTTAATTTCAGCTTTGGGCGAAAAAGCCCTATGTAAATTGCTTCAGTCCCTTGTCTTGTAAATGGCCCTATCGTAGAGAATGTACCAAGCGCGATCCACCTTGGTTTATGCCTCAATTCTGGTCCCCTCAAATTTTGCTGATTTCCAAGAAACTCCTCTCGACCCCCCATACACGGAAACTCAGAGATTCTGGTATAACTCATCCTCAACTTTCATGTTTCACTAATCCCTCTGTTCTGCTTATACCTGCTTATTGTCTCCCCCCCCCCCGATTATTTCCTGGACTCGGAAACAGGGACTGCGTCGTATTTCATGGGGTCCTAAAGGCTTGCTAGAGCCAGTGGTACAACATAAACTGAGTTGACAGCTGTGGCTGTGGAAAATCATGTAAGCCTTTGCAGACCACCGGTTAAAAATATCTTATGTGGTGGCCAGCATCCCCTACGTCTGCGCCACTCTCTATCTCTATCTTCAGGGAAGGCAAGAAGAAAATTTACTGGACTTTATGCACGCACAAGTGAGCTCAAAAATACAACCACACCTTATTTACCCTGTGGACTTCGTAAACAAAATCACATTAGAAACAGTCTCGTCAATCAATTTTGCATTTATTCAGCCTTTCAGCAATCCTGCTATCCTCTACTATACATCGTCAAGGGACCTGAAATGCAAGTAAAATTACCCTTCGGAATAAAAACGATGACAATGCATTTCGAACAACGAATTATACGAACACACCATTTTTACAGGCAACATCTGAATGTAATTTACTTATTGGAGCTTTAAACGTTTAGAAAGAAACACATCATCATGACATACAAAATCTTCTGGAGTAAACAATTGTCTAGATATTGCCGGTCGCAAATGTTGGATAAGAGTGATATCGTTAAACAACTGTGGTGAAAATTGATGAGGGTATAATCTTTCAGTATGGGAAGCAACAGCGAGTCATGAAGTCCATAAGAGTATATTGAATATCGAATTTTGAGAACAAGCGAATCCTGTGATATGTCTGTATTCAATGAGCTTGTGCTGTCTACAGACAGTAAGCGAAACTGGGGTGGACGGTGGGGGCGAATTTCGGTCTGGTATTGTATGATGTCGTGTAGAGTGTGGCAATTGTTTAGGTCTATAATGCTGTGAACAGAGCCATTTGAATAAACAAAGCCAGGGATGCATTTCTATCCAGTCGCTGTTGTCATATTAGCCTGGATAACACAAGAGGTTTCACCGTCGAACCGTTCGGTGATACTTCAGGGTCGGCCCGTCACATGAGGACACTTTCGGCCAGCTTTATATTCAGGTGAGTGGTAGTCAGGAGCGGAGGAACTTGCATGTTTGGGTGCAAACGGCATTTAACACCAACGTTCCCAGTTGCTCTCCCAACCAGAGCCATGAATTTAGGAGAGGCTGTAGTCTGGGGTGAATTGTCTAGCTCCTGGTGATTTTGCATCTGTAGGTGGTAAAATATGATAGTTTTCACGTGTTGAATAGGGGTTCGAAGTGTATCTCGCTGCTCAGTGTGTTTGTATGATCCGCCATCATAATCTGCGTATCGGGTGATAAAGGGAAACATAGAGACATGAGGAGTGAAGTTGGTTGTCCTAGGATTTGAGGGGGCATTTCTGTCAACTAGAGCATCAAAGGAGGAGTAAGGGGCCATATAGTCTAATAATCTACTTGTAGAATACCTTTGAGGTTTTATGCAGTATATTTCTCATGTCATATGTGTTTCAATATTATTATTTCTCGGAGACATTTTCTCTGTTAGTTCCGCATTTGTGATCACCTCAAGAGTTAAACAAATTGTAGGTTAGTATTTTTTCCGTTGGAATCCCCCATTCATGACTTCTTAGGACCTGATATTGTGCTTTGCGCTACCTCCCTCTTTACCGAACCACAGAAGGGCAATATTATACTCCTTCCCATCCTCCATCCCCTGCCTGGATGGGAGTTATCCATTCAGCCACCAGCCTTGGCACCAGTCTCTGAAATGTCAAGATGGCCTTTATAAGGGGCTTTACCGGGGTTTATATGC